AGATTTTAGTTTTTTTTTCATCTTTTTACTTTTGTTTTCTGGTTTTATTTTTTTCATTGTATTATTCATTTGAGCTTTCTACCTCAAATTTTTAAGAATGAAAATATAGAACAATGTTTTAAGAAAACAAACCAATTAAAATAATTAAGATATTGTGAGACATCAGATGAAAAAATCCTTTCGTTTTAGACAATTACAATTCTTGATATTACAACTACTAAACCTTTACATCTTATTATATGTCTCAGTATTTTTAAACCAACATAACAAATGTACTAACACTTTAACAGATTTTTTTTTTTTGAAAATACACTAAATTAATACATAACTTCAGCATACACAACTAATTAGCCCTAAATAACTTCACAATGAATTAAGGACTAGTCCTTCTATATAGTAAAAATTGTTGTGAACGCTGGCGAACTTCTTTGGGAAAGATTGTGAAAAACAACACATGGTTACACTGATGAATTGTGCTGAAGCCAGTGTGTAAATGTTTGAACATTCTTTGAAAATTCAATTCCAGTCAATTTACAATTTTTACTTTAGTGCCACAATGATTGTTAAGTATTTGACACAGGTCACATCATTATCAATAGAATCCTAGGAACTGTTACATGTTTACAAAATGGGATAAGACTATCTCAACTTCAGCTGCCAACACCTCAACTTCAGACCCTTGTATGTTAATATTCAAAATACATAATTTGACAAAAATTTGTACCAACAAACATGTTTGTGTGCGAGTAAACCAATGTCACACAGTTACCCTATCCGCTACAAAAATATAAACGTAGCAGTACCAGTGTCGGGATTCATTTTTGCTATGTGTTGTATCAATAAAAAAAAAACATTCCTTAATTAAGTAGAATATCAATTTGATTAGCATATTGAAATATTTTATTGCTAGAACATCTTTAATCAGATTTACAACATTATTAGTGAATTTTAGATCTGAAATGACAAGTAATCTGGGAACCTATGCTAATTATATAGCATGCAAAAGAGTATGATTACTGTATTGTTTCAACAATGCAATAACGCATTGAGACGTCATAGTGCATTACAGTATACCTTAAACGCCAGCTAGAACGAATTAGTTGCTGTAGACGTGTGTTAAATTGTTTCTGATTGGTCAAAAACACTTTCAGTGACAAGATTCAAAGTTGATTTCATGTCCTAGACAAAAGTTGATGTTCATTATGGATATAATCACGCATGTGCACAGATGTAAACCCACATTGCTTATCAGATCTAAAACTCTCTATTCATTCACTCATCTACTGTGACTGATACATTAACATGACCGCTCTGAACAGGTTTTTCCTGATTACTGGTTTTCACCTTTAAATCAGTCGTACTACTTACAACACCATTTACTAGTGCATTATCTATATTATCTTTATTATTATTAGCAAGGTCTTCACCCTCATGCTTTTTGCCCTCAGTTTCTTTTTTAGTGTGACCATTGTGAATAACACCGTTTGGCACTGATGCAGGGCGTGGCTTACGTGGAGGGCGTTTTCCTTTAGGAGATTGTGGAATTGCGCCGTTGGTCAAAGGTTTGTATCCTACTTCAGTATTAGGAGGTTTTATCTCCACATTGACCTGAGTATCTTCATTTGGTTGTCTATCGTTTTCCTGTGCTGTACTTTTCACCCCACTTTTTTCTTGTTTTTTGTTTTCTTCTATTTTGTTGTATTCTATATTCTCCTCCTTTTGAGCTGTATCATCCACTTTATTTGGTCTTCCCTGCTGTTTCTTTGCAGAGTGATTCCTTGTCCAAGTATTCCTATTTTGCTTTGGTTTCATCTTATTTTCATAACTTTTGGTCTGTGTCGAACCTTTCTCAGCAGAACCATTTTCCAATGAATTAGGTTTACCTTCGTTTACCACAGTATCATTACTTTCTGAATGGCTCTGTCGTTCTCGCTTTCGTCTTCTGTACTGCTCACGCCTTCGCACAATTTTTGTTGTCTGAGAATCAGAGTGTCGCTGATCTTGTTTTTCTGATTGAGTATCTTGGTACTTATCATGTTGTTTATCATTTTGCCTCTCTTGCAGTTTATTTTGTTGACTATCTTTCTGCTTGTCAAGTCTATCTTGTTGCCTATTTTGTGGTCTATCATGGTCACGATGAGGTTTTCTAAAAATTTCTTTTTTCTGGCTGGCAGGTTTGTTAAATTGATTCTGGTTAGAATCTTTGGTATTGTGTCCTTTATTCCTATGTGGTGGTGATTTAGGTACTGGTAATCCCTGTAAAAAAATATAAATCGGTATCAATGAGGGAGACCTTTCAAAAAACATATATGAAAATCATGTATTCTTCAATTTAAAAACAATATAATATATTGTACATTACAGTAGAACCCCTCATTTACATATGGGACAGACCCAGAGGTGTTTGTAAAAATTATTCGTACGTAAAATTGGGGTTGTGGCTAAGCCTGGACTTTAATTTTGTTGGATTGGAGCCAAAACTCCAACTCGCGCTTGAAAGAAATTCAAAATAACGATCATAATAATGTACAGTACTATACATACTTGTTAATATGTATAGAAACTTTATTATATGACTTATCTTCTAGCTTATGAAGAAACACAGCCCAGCAGGCGCCGCAACAGGGCGAGTAACGCAACAACGTTTTTCACTAGACCCATGTTCTTGTGGCGTCAAGTAAATACCTTGTACAGAATAATCTGGAAACCAGGGGTTCACAACTTTTTAAAAAAAGAGCGCTGATTGGCTGTAGACACGGCGCTTGGACTTGTTTTTATGTCAGTGTTTATGGGGGAAATAATGAAATGGTAGATTAATGTTAGTTAGATTTGATAAATAAAATCCATTCATAATTAGGGGGTTCATTAAATTACAATATGAGGATGGTGTATTCAGAGACGAATAAATAATGCGCCTATCAATATGCCGACAAGTTACGCATTGGGCGGAGTTTTCTCACGGCTGCAGACATGAAGTATGATCGCTGTGTTGAATGTCAGTGTATTCAAAGCGCACTATCTGCGTTTTGTATTGTAGTAGATATCGCTTATAGTGTACAGCAAACCGTCTAAGACCGAGTGAATAAACTCCAGCCCGTGCCTAACGATTAATTCTTGACACGGGTGTGTGTTTTGTTCATGAAAGAGGAACTTTATTTATGACAACAATGACATGATTTTACTTTCGTAAAATCGGGAATAAAAGCAATTGAGTAAAATCACAGAAAACTACATTGACAGTAATTTCATTCACCCATATTTCATTCAAGATCATACAGATGGAGTGTCCTCTCCACCTTTCATACAGAGATCAGAGGAAAGGGAATCAGTAGATGTGGAACATATTTAAAATGAAAATATGCTTACTGCATATGCAGCTACTGTTATTTCTTAATTTTAGGCATCTACTTTAATTACAACAACGAAGAGTAGGACAAATCATCTTGCTAGTTTATTATGTGATGAGATGAAGGCTTCTATTCAGACAAGCCATACTACTATACCATATCTAATTTTATGCATGTTTATGCAAAACAAAATTGCCAGCATGCCTTCACATACTTCTAAAGAACATTATAAAAATAGAAACTGAATGCTTTCGAACTGACACCACATTTCAATTCATTCCTTTGCCTTGAGGTCTCGCTGTGCAAGTTGCTTGTGTCTTTGGGCAAGGTACTTTATCTACGGTTATCTTGGTTGGCTGCAACATTATGGGGCATGAATGTTGTGTTCCATGTGCTTGATCCAGTGACCGGGGGTAATAATGTAAAGCGCATAGAGGTTAGTCTTCAATATGCGCTATATAAGTCGACAATTATTATTATTATTATTCCTTCTGATTAGAAGCAGTTTTCTTTTTTTTCATTCATTCATTTTTTATTTTGCCTTTCATAAAAATCACAATACAATCGGAACATACCGTAAAATAAAACAAAAAAAAAACTAAAACAAAACTGGCAATAAAACAAAAAACAACTAATACAGAAAAACTGTAAATCATAACGAGGCAGGGATTTACAAAAAGCAATTATAATTGCTATAGCTCATAAGTATGTAAACCCATCCCTAGAAAAACAACATAAAATTATATGATATAAAATATAATTCTCAGAATTAAGAGTTAAGGTTAATTGCATAACAAATAAATTGAATTAAAAAAAGATTGAGGGGGGGGGGGGGGAACTATATATATCTATATATATAAATTATATATATATATATATATATGTGCATGGTATTCATATATACACATATATACATACACAACAAAAACTAACAAAGGTATACTGTTCAAAAAGTTAGAAATTTGCTATTTGCAATAAAAGTAGGCCTATTATCAGTAGTTTTACACATTACAAGACTGATTATTAATTAATACAAACATTTTTATAACAGCATAGAAAAAAAAAATAAATGTTGGTTATATAATGTTCTTTAAATTTTGCTGTAAATACATTACAATTGTCCAGTACTACAGAATCTTTGAGTGCATTTGGTAGGGTTGAGGACAACCGTGTGAACTCGCAGATGGTGCAGTATTTTCGCACATCGGTATGTGCGTAGTGATGTTTAAAAGTTAGTGAGTCTGCATATCTTGAATTTAATATAGTGTTTGATAAAATAGTCTTGCATTCAATATGTCCAGAAAAGCATTATTCCAAATAAGAAGACAGTGTTGCATACCTGCGCTTTAAGGGACTTCAACAGTTTATTTTGAAGTTCTCTTATCTCAGCAGCTGTCATCTGTATCCCAGGAACTGCTGTAGGAATAGATATGCCATCATCTGTAGGCTCAACATCCATGAGAGCGTCGGAAGGGTTACGACCATGAGGAGTGAGATCTTCGTTGACAGAGGTAGATCTGCTTAAATCACTGCTAAGTGATGTCAAAGAGTGTCGACGTGTTGAATACTGACTTGTGATTGGTGTCACTTCACCAAATGAGTTTACATGCTAAGTTACCAAGACATAAATGGAATAATCACATTACAATATACTGCACTCTAATGCATTTATTTTGACAAACACTAAGTACTTTAAAAGCAGATTTCTCATGTGCAAAGCATGATTAATTTTACAATCACAACTAACCAGTGTTTGACATACTATATGACCCAATATTCAATTAAGGCTTTCATGTGAGATGCATTTTTGTTTATTTAAAAAGTAGGCCTGTCCCATTCAAGCACAGGTGCTCAGCTTCCCATGGTATGCACCCAAAATAGGCCTGTTTCATTCAAGCACAGGTGTTTAGCCTCCCACGGCATTCAGCTTCATAAAGGGTTAAGCCTCACAGGGCATGTAGCCTCATCATAGAAGGCAAGCAGGCTCATGGGGTTAAAGCCTCACTGGGGATGTAGCCTCATAGGTGGTTCAGCATATTAGGGGATATAGCCTCACATGGGGTAAACCACACAAGAGATACAATCTCACAGTCAGTAAGCCTCATAAGGGGTATCTTGAAAGGGGGATACATGAGAGGCTGCCACACAGAGTGTGTGCTGTGAATTTGGAATTTTGTTATCTTGAAGTTACACTATAAACCTTTATTTCTAGATCTCATTGGGACCATACCTCCTCAAAAGCAGATGCATCTGCTTGGAATCTAGATGTTCTTCCAAGTGCTTCATCTATTTTTCTATCTGACACAAAATGCTAGAAAAACAAATTAAACATTTAAAAATTAAAATTCTTATTCATCTGTACAAGTATTCCATTTAAAAAAAAAGTTTCATTGTTATTCTACACCTTTATATCATGAGTGCTCCTTTGGTCACTTTTGATAAAATATTTTAAACAGCACATAACAGTATGCTATAAAAAGTTGGGAGTCTTGACAAAAACAACTGATGAGCAAGTATTATTGTTGTGAATAAATTAATTTAAAAAATTGAATGGGATACATCATGGATAGAGGGCGAGACAGATGGCTGAGTGGTTATGGCAGGAGTGCTGCAACCTACAGGCCCTAATATAACCTACGGCCACTAATATAGGAGCTGGTTCAAACGGCACGCTCGCCTATGGTTCTGGTGGTGGAAGTCTTCTCAGATTAGTACCGTAAACCGTAGGCCCAGTGTACACAATTGGCTCATGTGCACTTTAAAGAACCCAGTACATCTTTCGAGATTAGTAGGAGGTTACCCCCGTGTACTGGTCCATACAGCCCCTGAGGTCCTTTGCAGAATGTACCTTTGTAAACATAAACACGCCCTTATTAAATCAAATAAATATTATTGCTGGGCCTGCCAGCTAGAAAATATTTTTTTTAAAGTCAGCTGGTGCAAAACTACATTAATAAAAGAGAAAGGTAATGTAGATGCAAGTTGCAGAATAAAGCCATGGGATATGCACAAGACAGAATATATAAAGTGGAAACTAAAAGTATGTTGAAGTTCAACTTTATTTTTTTCACAGAGGCTCAGATTTGTAAATGTTTGGCTCTAGGTAACCCACAATAGGCCCATGCAAGTTTGCAATTACTAAAAGTGTGGAAGAACAATACTATTATATACATCTTATGAGGGTATGATGACAAGGGACAAAAAGTTAAAGGTTTGTTAAACATATGTATATTTCGACGTATTTATTCCAACTTCAATATTTGTCAATAATAATGCCAAGATAATTACAATGGAGGCCTTATGTGCCATATGAGTCAACAATAATAGGTAAGATAAAGTTCATCATTATTTTATTTAACATTGGTAAATATGTAGCTTATTTCAAGCAACCCATATGCAAATAGGGACTAATTGCATATTTTTCCATAAAATGTTCATGAGAAACTATCTTACATGGGAGCTAACTTAACATGTGAAGTTAACATATACTGTATATGAGCAAATTTGCATATTGAATTTGAAAGATCAGCAGTATTTCCATTTGTAATATACAAGTTTGATTGAAATGGGGAAGGGAAAATCCAGTTGCATGTGATATCCCATGTGGTACAAAGTAGCTAGTAAAACATATGTACTGAAAAAAAAATTATAAAAAAAAGTTACCAAAAATGAAAATGACATTAAAGTACTTGACAGAGTTGGCTTGGTTTAGAGTTTCAACTGTACTTGTAATTAGTATCACAAATCGCATTGCTCTCAAAGCATGCCAAAATAATTATGCCTAAAAAGCATCTTTTCACGGTAATAAGCACTATTAATTAAAAAACATAGCACATATTCTTGTAGGTGCATTAGGTGTGGGTTAACAAAATATTAAATATCAAGAATAAAAGAAAGGCATCTCACCTTAATATCGGCCCTTAACTCTAATAGCTGTATTTCACTTAAAAACTTAACTTGCTCTGCACGTCGTTTCAATTCAACAGCCTCTTGCTGACGTTTACCAAACATTGTAGCTGAAATAAATGTAAAAAACAATTATATAAACCATCCGCTTACTTCTTATATATAATACCCAAAGCTGCTGAAAGAATATTGGTTGGAACTCTGATAACAAGAAAATGGGTGAAGGGGAGGGACAGCTCTTAAGATTTACAAAAGTTTCCATGTTTGAGTTAATATACAAATATTTAAAAGTTTTAAATTGTTTTATACTCAATTTATGATTGCTTGTATGCTTAAATTGTGAAAAAAATAATTATACATTATTATTATAGTATATAAATTTTAAAAGGAATGCTTTATATTTTTAAGGTTGCCATGTTTGAGTTAATATACAGAGATTTTAAAGTTTTAAATCATTTTTATACTCAATTTACAATTGCTTGTATGCTTACACTTTCATTGAAAAAAAATAATTATACATTATTATTATAGTATATAAAATTTAAAAGGAATGCTATATATTTTTAAGGTTGCTATGTTTGAGTTAATATACATGGATTTTAAAGTTTTAAATCGTTTTATACTCAATTTATGATTGCTTGTATGCTTACATTTTTATTGAAACGTATATAAAATTTAAAAGGAATGCTTTATACTTTTAAAAATGTTATCACCAGAAAACACCACAGGACAGTGTAGAGAGAAGGTAATATATATGCAAATGACGTCATTCGGGAAGTTTATTTATTTTAGTATGGAATACAAACGTACCTCCCTGGGGAGTATTCCATAACATTACAGCAGCTAATCAACGCATTTTCAACAAGTCTTTTCAGATAACGACTATAAACCGTAAGCCCAGTGTACACATGGCTCATGTGCACTTTAAAGAACCCAGTACATCTTTCGAGATTAGTAGGAGGTTACCCCGGTGTACTGGTCCATACAGCCCCTGAGGTCCTTTGCAGAATGTACCTTTGTAAACATAAACACGCCCTTATTAAATCAAATAAATATTATTGCTGGGCCTGCCAGCTAGAAAATATTTTTTTTAAAGTCAGCTGGTGCAAAACTACATTAATAAAAGAGAAAGGTAATGTAGATGCAAGTTGCAGAATAAAGCCATGGGATATGCACAAGACAGAATATATAAAGTGGAAACTAAAAGTATGTTGAAGTTCAACTTTATTTTTTTTTAACAGAGGCTCAGATTTGTAAATGAACCCACAGTAGGCCCATGCAAGTTTGCAATTACTAAAAGTGTGGAAGAACAATACTATTATATACATCTTATGAGGGTATGATGACAAGGGGCAAAAAGCTAAAGGTTTGTTAAACATATGTATACCACTCAGCATTTTCCTGCGAGTAATTTCGACATATTTATTCAAACTTCAAAATTTGTCAATAATAATGCCAAGATATTTACAATGGAGGCCTTATGTGCCATGATACTGAGTCAACAATAATAGGTAAGATAAAGTTCATCATTATCTTATTTAACATTGGTAAATATGTAGCTTATTTCAAGCAACCCATATGCAAATAGAGACTAATTGCATATTTTTCCATAAAATGTTCATGAGAAGCTATCTTACATGGCAGCTAACTTAAGATGTGAAGTTAACATATACTGTATATGAGCAAATTTGCATATTGAATTTGAAAGATCAGCAGTATTTCCATTTGTAATATACAAGTTTGATTGAAATCGGGACGGGAAAATCCAGTTGCATATGATATTCCATATGGTACAAAGTAGCTAGTAAAATGTATGTACAGAAAAAAAATTAGAAAAAAAAGTTGGCAAAAATGAAAATGACAGAGGTGGCTTGGTTTAGAGTTTCAACTATACTTGTAATTAGTATTACAAATCGCATTGCTCTCACAGCATGCCAAAATAATTATGCCTAAAAAGCATCTTTTCACGGAAATAAGCACTATTAATTAAAAAACATAGCACATAACCTTGTAGGTGCACTAGGTGTGGGTTAACAAAATATTAAATATCAAGAATCAAAGAAAGGCATCTCACCTTAATATCGGCCCTTAACTCTAATAGCTGTACTTCACTTAAAAACTTAACTTGCTCTGCACGTCGTTTCAATTCAACAGCCTCATGCTGACGTTTACCAAACATTGTAGCTGAAATAAATATAAAAAACAATTATATAAAAACCATCGACTTACTTCTTATATATAATACCCAAAGCTGCTGAAAGAATATTGGTTGGAACTCTGATAACAAGAAAATAGGTGAAGGGGAGGGACAGCTCTTTAGATTCACGAAAGTTTCCATGTTTGAATTAATATACAAATATTTAAAAGTTTTTAATCGTTTTATACTCAATTTATGATTGCTTGTATGCTTAAATTGTGGAAAAAATAATTATACATTATTATTATAGTATATACATTATTATTATAGTATAAAAAACTGAAAATCCATTTCATGTCCATTTTAAGTGTTTGTGCAATGGTTGAGTAATTCATTGAAAGTTGGACTGCTCCATTCTGCTATGCACCACCTTGCCGAGTTGGGCAACCCATATTTCACCTATGGGATATTCCTTCCATTGCACTCATAAACTTACATTTTAATTATTTTATTATATATTTTCATTGTATTTTGTGAAGTGTTTGTGTTCAGCTGAGAGTCTCAACTTACCAGCTTGTTCCTTAATTGAATTCAGCTCTCTCAACAGCTCAACTTCACGGTTTTGAAGTCTAATAGTGAAAAAAAATATTTCCAAATTACAATTAATTATTCTTTATTATTTATAAGTAGCATTACTGAAAATATAGGTAGATGATGTAGGGTCCAATTAATAGAATATGGCCACTCAAAAAACAGCTTCAAATAACTCCAATAAATAACATGTTAGTGTTACTGTATATCTGAGAATATTGGAATATTTCTGGAACAAAGTATAATGTTATTTCATCAGAAGGACAACATAATAAAATGGGAAAAACAGGAATGGTTATGCCTAAGATTTAAATACTGAAAATTCCAGGAAATATAGCATTACATAGCACTTATTAATTCAACTTTAGGCACTAGGGACCAAGGATAGGCCAAACATTGAACTAAATCACTCTTCAAAGTGGCAATTGAATCACAAGACAACAGGGGCTGTATGGACCAGTACACCGGGGTAACCTCCTACTAATCTCGAAAGATGTACTGGGTTCTTTAAAGTGCACATGAGCCATGTGTACACTGGGCTTACGGTTTATAGTCGTTATCTGAAAAGACTTGTTGAAAATGCGTTGATTAGCTGCTGTAATGTTATGGAATACTCCCCAGGGAGGTACGTTTGTATTCCATACTGTAGGTGTTTACTCCAATGACCGGGATAATGATAATTTGACACGCACAGAGGGCTTATCATAATGCGCTATATAAGTCTACCTTTATTATTATTATTATTATTATTATTATTATTATTATTATAATTATTATTACAGTGGCCTTAAAAGACATGGCAGGTCACACATAAAAAATTATAGACACACAAAAGATTCTGATATTTTACAATTAGTTCCTTGAGTAAATGGGGTTTTAAAATGTGTCTACGAATTGTAAAACTGGACTTAATATGTAGTACTCATGAACCTATAATTAAGCGGGCAAGTAATATTGAAATATCAAATCCAAAATATCTTTAGTATCAATGTAACAGCACTGTTGAAGTAATTGATGTTGATATTAATGACCAGTTAATGTGTGTATGCAAGTATTTGCAACTCTTTCCATTTTTAAGCATCTTTATTATTTACTTTACACAGTAATTTCTATTTTATTGCATTTGTGAAGGCTAAATAAAAAATGAATGAAGAAATAAAATGAATAAATCAGATAAAACAAATATCAAAATCTATGATTAACTTTTGGTTCTTTTTAATGGTATAGATTTTGCATTTAGGTTTTACTTGTTAAATAGAATTTTATAAAGCCAGTCACTAGGAAAATGCATGTCTGGCACGGTTTTATTTGCCATTTGGCTCTATCATCTTGGGACACTATTGGAGACTGTGTCTCCTTCATTGACTGCTAGTATAATTTCCTGCCTTAATTGTAAGATCTATGCAGAGCGTCTAAAAATCACAACCTATACTATGTTAATGCAAATAAATATAGCTGGCAACCATGTTTTATTACTTCATGCAAGCATAAAGTACTTTTATTTATTGTTCATAATTCTATGTTTGACATGGACTGAGTCTGAATTTTAAAAAAACAAATTAATACTTAATGTAAATGGTTTTATCTAAATATGTAATTATATATGTTATAAATTATACACATATTTTGAGACAGTGTTGATAACTAGTACTTTATGTACATTTTGTATCTAAATATTATTACTGTTGCCTGAATATCTAATAAAAAATAAACAGACTGATATGTTGATAATAGACATGCAGTAAAATTTGTTAATTTCATTCATACTACACAGGTGATGAATCTGTAAATCATTGATATTCTTGAATACAATGTGATTGCAATGACTTCAACAAGAAACGGCATGAAAACTGTTGAATAGAGTCTGACATTATGGTGGAAAAAATTTTCAATTTATTTTATCATCTTTTAAAAATATTGCTATATCAAAAAAATTCAATTATTTTACACATTCATTTTTTATTTTATTTTTATTATCCTTTCACATCCAATACCAAGTACTGTATATAACTTTCCAATTACAGGATGCATTTAAACTAAGTTTATGACACTTGGAGGGTGTAGCTTTTTTCAATGATGTTAAAAAACACTGCAGTGACAGGGTTTGAACCAAGGACCTGAGATTGGAAGGCAAGCATCTTAACTACAAAGCTATTCAACTACACTCCACTGAGTGATGTGTGGCTGTACAATTTACAAAATTAAAAAAAATACCAAGCTTTAGGATTTTCAATGTCTGCTAAGTAATATATTGTTAAGCCCACATTTATCCTATTATATCTGATATCTTTAAACTAGCTATAAAGTAAATCCATGTGATTCATAGCATATAGTTTTACATATAACCAGGTGCAATCACTGACTATTAAAATATAGTGAATCGCATGACTATTAGTGACCATGTGGAAAATCTCACTATAAATTGATACTGAATGTTGTTTTTACTTACATTGTGTGAACATCAGCAAATGCACTCTTGATTTTCTTGAAAGCATTTTCCATTTCTTCTGTATGTTTATTGTGGTGATGTCCAAGCGAAACTGTTGTTCTCTGTAAATCCTTCACTGATTTATCCAATGCCCCACCTGTAATGATAAAAAAAAATCTTTCTCTATTTCTTATAATTATTTCACTTATTCACAAGCAATCTCATAATTTACATTTAAGAAATAACCCACTTTGTTTTGTCTTTTTTTTTTTTCAAATTTTCCCCTAAATAGGTTTTGCATCATTCATTTATGCAGTAGTTTTAGTAACAGTATTAAAGGATGTGTCGGAAAACATCCATCAAACCAACCTTTTGTCTTCAATTAGGAGTGATTTCAGTTCTAGAAATTTTAGGTTAACAAATTCCGAAGATTTAAATGTTTTAAAGAGACATTACAAAAGAGAGAAATAAGTGGTATGATTTGGCTTATTTTTGTATTCAGTTGAACTATAGTTTTCGAATAGAAGTTGTTATATATAAAGGCTTTGGGTCACTTATAAGAATCTCATAATCTATAATAAAAATTATATCTAGCATATTACGATTAAATTTTCAGTAAAAAAAATTGTAGGCAAAAAAGGCACATTGTCTTAGAACTATGGTGTTTACAAGTAAAATGTTTTTAAGTGCCTGTTGTTTATAAAATACAATAGTTTTGTAATTTATTTGAAACACTGGTTATAAACACATGAGTAAAATAATCTATATTGGCCTCAATGGTCATTGTGAAAACGAAGAGAAAACAATTAATAAATCAACTAAAAAATATAGATACAATAATTATATAGCACAATCACAAATAAGTTTTGAATAATTGAATACTCCCTAATAAATTTCATTGTGGTTCACCCTGTTATTGACTGCCATCAGTGTTGTAATTAATTACAATTTAAGTATTTTCGATGCCTAATAATGGACTTTTTTGTATCAAACACCTTAAATTTTGTAGCATATAAACTTGTAGGTTTAACAGTATATTTATTCTTGCTACTACTGTAGACATATAATTTTACCAAGAGGACGTAAGACTTTTATTACTCTGTAAATGTGTCATAAAGTAAATAAAATAGAAATAGCTGGAAAAATTATAAAAAAAATATACATAATTCATAAAAATGTTTATCCCAGTGACAAGCACACTCATCATAGTGTAATGTGAACTGACAGTCTATTCCAGATCCGAACAACATCGTTGGAATACACGACATTTGCAAGGTCTGTATTCCAACAAACATTGTTGGAGTACAGAACTTGCAGATGTCCGTTTTAGAACTATGGTGTTTACAAGTAAAATGTTTTTAAGTGCCTGTTGTTTATAAAATACAATAGTTTTGTAATTTATTTGAAACACTGGTTATAAACACATGAGTAAAATAATCTATATTGGCCTCAGTGGTCATAAGACTCAGAAAGACAAAGTACATTTGAATCGCATGTGGAAAAGTCAATCTGACTCATTGCATTGTACTTGTGTCTGGTTCCAGCAGTAAACAATAAAGATGCTTTGCAATACCAGTTTATGATAAACACAAATTACACCATCATACAATAAACTTATGTATTCTGAATTTTAGGCAAAACTTTTTTAACCTAGATTACTAAAATGTAAGACAGAAATTATTGAAATACAATTTTGATAAAGAATATAATGTTCAGTATGTGAGGAAAGAATAGCAACTAAAGGACAATCTTTGGCTTTTGATCCAGATCCTATAAAACGACCCAACAAAAATGTTATGTTAAAATTCAAACAGTTCAGCAATGATCATTAGCGGATCAAGGGATGCAAGGTATGCACTGCTTATACAAGCTAAAATACCAATAAAAACTATATATTGTACGTGACCCTCAGGGAAGGAAAAATTTACTGAAAAGCGCAAAATCTAGTCCACTGCGCCTTTCATAAACGTTTAAATTGGCGCATTATGTTATTATTATTATTATTATTACGCTGGGCATATGCCCGAAAGAGATTTGCAGACTGTAAAACTTTGGTATCTAGGATGTCAGCTAATCTACTATATCTACTATTGAGCCTATCACATCGCACTCTCAGCTACTTAGAATTTCCTCACATGGTTGGGTTTCAATTCCAGATAATCGCCTATAAAGTGAGTCAATAGAAGTGGTGGCGATAGAATAGCACATTTAACACTTTATATATTGGAAGTAGTAGTCCCTAGAGTATGTGCGCAGGCTCCTCTTCTCACTCTTCTACTGTATTATAGGCCTCTACTGCCCGGCATTTTAATATCTCACTGATTAAAAGTTAATAATTTGCATACAGACGTCCGATATATAGAAGCTATAGCTCCAAATTTTTCTTCTATGGCATTCCCTATCATGCCATACAGTTTACCTTATGGTCAGCCACTGAAGATGATTGATAAATCATATTCAGTGATTAAGAGAATTAATAATAATAAACAATAAATTGGAGAACTAAAATAGTGCTTGTTAGACCACTTAAAAATATTACAAGAAATATTGATTAAAGAGATATGTTTTAAGGATAGTCTTGAATGCATCAGGATAGTGGGGAGAAATATAGATTTCTTACTGGAGAATTTCATGGAGGCAACAGATATTATAAAAAAATGTGTATACATTCCATTTTTCATGGTGGTAAGTGTATTAACAGGCCAAAAATCAATTTTGTTTTTATTTAAAACCATCCTCATCGGTGGGTTTAAGAGATAGCATAACAAAATTCTTGCCTATGAACACCTACTGGTTATGTGCTGTGGGTGAAAGTGAAGTTCTACTGTAATGTGTTGTCGTAATTTCTGCCGACAACCCACAGAAACAGTCCAGCTGTCTACTGCAACTAATGGATAATTCCTTTATCCTGTTGAAGGTTCTATTAAATATATACTATAAATTAATGCACGGATAAACACAAATAATGAGTCTGCAATTTTTCAATTCTAACAAGACGCTTGGAAAGTGTAAAATTCCAATGTAATAAAAATACATACATAGACTGGCATAAATTTGACGTCATAAAACTAGATGCATGTATGTCTGAGTGTAGGTCTGGAGTTGGAAGATAATTCAAACTAGTTGACACAACATCCTAATAAAGATAGTACTTCCTTTTTCTCATCATTAATATATACAATTGGGGTTGATGTGGTTTCTTTTTTTGACAAGGTGATATCACACTTAACATCTGGCCTGAATTCATATGACTTAAAAAATAGCTGGCTACATAGCCAGCATAACATCAGAGGCAGGGCTTATAACATATGCTTGTTAGAAACATGCTTTTGTGATATATGACATATTGCATTGGCTATGCATCAATTGGCCAGGCGACACAATTTATACAAGTAATCATAAAACCAGGTTTGCTGGGATGGGGATGGGGTTGGGGGATATTTTTTGTAAAATTTATAGATTGTGAATTCTAATACATTTCTTTATATTTAGTTTTTTACTATCAGAAATAAAACTATTCTAAATCTGTAATATCAATCAAATTGAAGAACTGTTTTGATCGTTAATAAACCAAAAACAACGGATTACACCTTGGACAATGCACTATATATTCTTATGTAAGTGTACAGTATTACAAAAAATATTAGAACAATATTCACATTTTCTACAGCAAAGACTAGTTACAATAACATCGTGTTTTTATAAGTGTGGGCTCCTACTTCTTGAAATCGGCTTATTATATCCCTCATCAATGTTGTCTCCGAAGGAAGCCACACTAATTGCTTACAGATCAAGTACAACTCCCTCGCAGCAGGCTAAAATTCTATCAGATAACTGACTAGACCAGAGTCAGCAAGGACAGGTTGGGCTTCCAAGTCAAAGACTCTGATTGGTTTAAGTTTCTGTTATTATTATTATTATTGTTATTATTATTATTATTATTATTATTATTATTATTATTATTATTATACAATACTTTATATTTTTGAATTTTTCTATTGTATATCATTATATCATATATTTCATCAAACTTTGAATACCATATAAAAAATATAACATGGAAGTGTAAATAAGACATAAAAAAAGCTAATTTACTGTACTACCAAGGGTTTTTCTTCACAATACAGTATCTACCTTTAATAGTAAATAGAGAAATTGCAATTATAAATAAATTCAGGTCTTGAAATAACTTCCCAAAGTACTTTAAAGTAAATAGCAATGCATTCCTTGTCTGAACAGATAGCTTTTCCCACATTCTAAGAAACTAATTGAATAATCAGAATTGAAGTGAGGTTTAGTGCAAATGTAAATATGAGTGATGTGTGTTTGCTATTGCTCAACATTAATGTAGTGAGACATGTCAATGTGCTACTAATATTACAGGCATTTGGATATGAATGTTATTGTGAGATAATCAACCTGTTTATATTTTATATAACTGATGTGTAGGTGGGGATATTAATTGCTCCAGCAAAATATCAAGAAAGCTAACATGACCTTTTTACCCCAAGCCTGAACACAAAATTATAAAATGGACCCACAATAGCGCTAAAAAGAGTTTTTAAGAACTTTACATTACATAGTACAAATTGTATGGTTAAGCCAGTTATTTAATCCAATTTAGCTTACAATTAATAGATTATTCTATAGGCAAAAAGACTACCATCAAATTATAACAGCAGCTTCCATGATTCATAAAGATCTACTTACATCCGTTTAATATTATTTACTTTACGTTTTTCAGAATGATGAAGTGGAAAGCATTCACATTCTCCTGATGAAGAGCACTGTGTGGTCAAAAGATTGTATGTCAATAATATTTGTTTTAAGTCAGTGGTGACATCATCACTTTTACTTGCACTGAAATTTCGTATTCCCGACTGATCACTAACTGATATAATGCCTCCGATCTTTAGTGTCTCATGTGCAAAATTCTCAAAGCTGGGGTGATTTTCCTACAGAACAATGTGATGGAATATTTTGTTGCTAGGTCAAGCCATGAACGCACACAGCGAACCTAACAAATCTCAACCTACAACGTTTGTTAACACATGAAGCCAAGATCGTTCTAGGCATGGCCTAGAAAGGCATAAGGCAATGCTGAAATAATTCATAATAATGTTAAGAATACATTTTAATCTATTAATCTACCAGGATATAAGGCCTACCTAACAAACCCTAATGAACTATTAACCACAATCACTATATTTAGAAAGGCATAAGGCAATGCTGAAATAATTCATAATAATGTTAAGAATACATTTTAATCTATTAATCTACCAGGATATAAGGCCTACCTAACAAACTATTAACCACAATCACTATATTTAGAAAGGCATAAGGCAATGCTGAAATAATTCATAATAATGTTAAGAATACATTTTAATCTATTACTCTACAAGGATATAAGGCCTACCTAACAAACCCTAATGAACTATTAACCACAATCACTTTATTCATCTTCGTATCGACAAGTATCGCGAAGAGCTGTGCGAAGAGTGTCAGTGCGCATACTACTTGGTACTACAGTACTAAGAAATCATTCTAATATGCGCATCTAATGCACACGCACAGTGATCACTAAGCAACTTACGTTATAGGACCTATAGCAAACCGCAATTACAGTCAAGTAATTTTGTACAGTATAAGAAATAGAACCATTAATTTCTCCAAAAATTGCCTTCAGCCTTGCAGGCTTCAGGCAATTTTTGCAGGAAATAATGGATCCTTTGCCTTCTATTTCCTATAGTGTACTCAAAATCTAACTATAATTAATTGCTTAATCTGTAAGTAAAGTGCTGTTTGCCTTCAATTTAATTTTTTTCAGAATATAATTTAGTTCTGTTAATGATACTTCTGTATTCGGTCTATATTTCTGCATGAACAGAACTGAACCATATGATTAAAAGTAGAGTATCATCATCCAAACACTCTGAATGTGGCCAGGGGAAGGAACTCCCCCCCCCCCCCCCCCCGGTGAGTCGTGCAGTAGGCCAAACCCGAGCGAAGGGCCTGGAAGATTGTCCAAATATGTGGTTAAAACTAGTGTTTTATACTCATTTCACAATGTATGTGCTTTGAAATTCATGTGAACCATAGGGTACAGCATAGAACTGTAGTGTGTCCCAGTACGACTTTTACATAAGGCTACCTAATTTGACCGTAGATATGCAGCAATACTAGAAATTTCTCAATATTTAGGGCAAGTACCTTTTGGAGATTTAGCAAACCATTCTGATAATATTTCCAATTCCATTTTCCAAGCGATTGGAAACAGTTTAATACTTGGGTTCAAACCAACATAAATAATGTTATAGCATTGTCGCACCATTTGCATTTGTTTACCCAACAGATCACGTAACTTGGTTAGCGTATCAATTCTGAAATGTTCCCATGAAACCTTGTGCATTTGCCATGCCACACAACATAAACATTAATTGATCCATAGGAAGCATAAAAATTATTTTGGCAACATACTTCTGTTAACTTTGAGTTAGATTGATCATCAATTTACCAATTTGGCAAGTAAAATCCAATCTTTATATTTGATTTTAGATTTATTCAAGTTCTAGCAAATATTTATCTTTGAAAGTATAGGGAAAACAGAGTGGCACAGAAAATATTTCCACATTGACAAATTTCCGAGTTATGCCATAGTCAACTTAGTTTAAACATTTAAAGAAATTTAAGGACTATAGTTTCGATTTAAGAAATTTGATTTATATTTATTTACCTCATACTATAGGTGGCTGAGTTTTTTAAGACCATCTACACATCATTACTTTGACTTGTACTCTACATCCTTACAATGGCACTGTTAGTGAGACTAATAAATTACCACTTTAAATGTAGATTAAATATGCCGTTTAATAACTTACCTGTCTTTTTCTCTGATTTTTCATTTCCTTTCTGACTTGATGTACTTTTCTCGCTAATGGTTCTTTCACGTTTTGAGTGTCTTCCGCTCTTGTGATCCTTGCTCGGTACAGCCTTGGAATGTTCATCCTTGTGCGAAGTTTCTGGCCTATGAGGTTTGTCAGAAGCTTCTAATGAAGAGACTTTACTCTCCTCAGGTGTCACTAAGGGTGGCATCCTCTCCTGACTAGTGGTAGCTGAATCATGTGTAGCGACACATGTTGTATTTTCTACATCTACACAAAAATACGAAAAATGAAAGTTTCTAGAGAAATTAAGGAATGCATTATAAGTTGTATGATATTGCCTTGCAAGATATGCTACGTTAGCTTGTAAGATTCAAGATTTCAAGATGTTACTGCTACACACAGGTCCTCGATAGATGTGAGAGTCCTGTGTAAAATGCATATTACTGTGAGATTTCAGGTCTTTCTGATATAGCTGGCTTAACTTTTATAAATGCCAATAAATAAAACAATAATACTAATATTAATGTTACACAACACTGTAATAGACAATCAAGGCATTTTCTAACTCCATGTGTTTATCCTGACTGGTGGTGATGCTGAAAATTTGGGATAAAGGGGTTTATTAAGCACAAGATTTGCAGAGACATCCAGTCTGAAACTGCAAAGCCTTCAGGGCTACCAACTTTTTTTGGAATAATCTCTTTAGAATGCCGTCACATTAGTGTGAATGCATCGGCTGATTAAACAATTGCTGGTCACTTATCTCAGGCCCAAAATGATTAAATTTCCTTTCTGTATTTCATATTACTACTGCTACTACTACTGTAACAATGATTTCTGCTAGAGGAACTGTTGACTTTTGATGGCAAGGAAATTGTACTGAATTGACATGTCTAGCTGATTATTTGAAGTATTGACATACAATTTGACGAACTGGCATCACAAATATCGCATGCACTCAAGGATACTTATTAACCAATACTGTCAACAGAAACAGATGTACCACTAAACAAATACTTTTATATAACTCCATAATATCAATAAATCAATCTGACATTTTGATGCAACTTTAAAACATTCAGCCTGCCTACAAAATTTAATAATATTAGTAATATGGAATATCAATAACCCAACATACATATTCCTACTTTAGCAAGGACAATACGTAAGAAGCATTTTTTCCACAATTTTCTAAAATATAGTATTGGAAAGCCTGGTTCCTATAAGGTACTTACTTTTGACTGAGTTTTCTGAGATGGGTTGCTTTGTTGAAACTGTTTGGTTTTTTGTTGACACTGGTTGCTGTACTGCATTCGCTGTATCGCCATGTTTGCTATCAGATTCTTGAAGTTGTTTAGATTTTTTCTTTTTATTCTTCTTACTACTGGTCTAAATAATGAATAATTATTAATGGAAATTAATTAAATAAAAACCTCTACTGTTGACTATTCCTCTAATGCTAGAATATAATAGAATTTAATAGGAAGGACGACCTTGGCTATGCCTAGCAGAAAGTAACAGAGAACACTGATTCTGTGGCACCAACAAAAATACATCCAATATTTAAGTAAAAAGTTAATCAGACAAAAAAAAAAAAAAATATGGTACACAAAATGTCTCATATTGTCACTCCCTTTGACAAAAACAAAAAAAAACATGTGTTTCTTAGGACATATAGAAGTAATGGGAACTAGACCCACTGAAATATTAAAGCTCCGCCTGATATACAATCTATAAAAGCATCCTTTTGTTTTATTCGTACTTGATTGCAACTTAAAGTTAGGCTCCGGAAGAAAAGAAATTGATTATGTTGAAAGACTTGGAAACAGTTAATGAGATACAGATTTTTGAATATTTAGGGAAAAGGGAGTGTAACCACCATTTTTTCAATCTTGCACCCAGTTTATAAATATTTAAAAATCTGTATCTCATTAACCGTTACCAGTTTTTCGTCAAATATATATTTTGTGTCTTAGAAAAACCAGTTGTACAACATATAAACAATTTTTTTTCCTCCGGAGCCGGACATTAATATTTTACCATGTTTAAAATAGATTCAATCAAAGAATATAGATAGAGGAAGAACGAGCAGCGAGCCCAAAATCGTGTAATCAACCGAATTGCATGATGGGAGGCAGTGGAGTAGAGCCCTGCGTATCAGTGGTGTATATAAAAACTTGTCTAGTGTAGGTTAGGCAAAGCCTACTACTGTATAGAAAGTTCGACCTTATTAGGTATTTATCAATTATTCTAGGTCTATCTATTCTTGTACTTAGCTTAGACCATAGACCTACATAATAATTGGATAAGCTAGGCTAGGCCCCAAGCTTTCAAATAAAAAAGGAACATTACAGTGTACACTACAGTTGTTAGGTGTAAACTAGATCTAAGGTACTAGATAGAGGACTATTCTACAAGGCCTAGACATGCCTGGGAGATGTAAAAAGGGAGATGATTAAACTAGGCTTATTGATTATTTAATTCTTATTCTTAAATATTATTATTATTATTATTATTATTATTATTATTATTATTATTATTATTATTATCATGAATATAATATTATTAATTATTATTATTATTACTAGGCCCATTAATAATTGTAATTTTATTATTATTATTATTATTATTATTATTATTATTATTGTTATTATTAACAATAATAATAATAATAATAATAATAATATTTAACATTTTTTCCAACCTGGTTAGGATCAATCTTTATGATATGTATTATTACAACAATTTGTGATTTTGATTGTAGAATTCTTAATTTAAACCAAGTAACACATATATACATACTGCTACTCGCATGATACGACACACTTCCGTTAAAAAGCGTTACAATTCTGTAATGCAAAATACGCTAACCGCTGGTTCTTGATCTATATACTTTGGTTCAATCAATTTTGTAAAATGTGAAGTGGGTATGAAAACTTGGAATTGTAAGTTATCCTTGGTATTTTTGTTTTACAATGAGTTGAATTTTTAAAATAAAATATGAATGATTGAATGATTGGCATATTAAGCAGTCCCGTAACTAGTGTTGGATATCGGTTAGTTGTTGGTGACTTTAATGAGTAGTATGACACAGTTCCTTTTAATTCATTGCGAACTTTTATTAACACAAACTGTACATAGTTACAATCAGCTAAACTCCAGGTTTCAGATGTTAGAGAACCCTTTTAGAGTGGAGTCAGCTCGGCCCTGTACTTTTCTTCTGTGTTGAATCTAACTACTGACTACTGACTACTGAAGCACATATTACTTATTATTATTATTATTATTATTATTATTATTATTATTATTATTATTATTATTATTATTATTATTATTATTGTTATTATTAACAATAATAATAATAATAATAATAATAATATTTAACATTTTTTCCAACCTGGTTAGGATCAATCTTTATGATATGTATTATTACAACAATTTGTGATTTTGATTGTAGAATTCTTAATTTAAACCAAGTAACACAAATATACATACTGCTACTCGCATGATACGACACACTTCCGTTAAAAAGCGTTACAATTCTGTAATGCAAAATACGCTAGCCGCTGGTTCTTGATCTATATACTTTGGTTCAATCAATTTTGTAAAATGTGAAGTGGGTATGAAAACTTGGAATTGTAAGTTATCCTTGGTATTTTTGTTTTACAATGAGTTGAATTTTTAAAATAAAATATGAATGATTGAATGATTGGCATATTAAGCAATCCCGTAACTAGTCAGGTTTCCTATGGTTTGTCCAAACTATCTTTTTGAAAGACCCCTCTTTTAAACCAAACCACTCCCCTTGTACTGAAAAAAATCATTAAAATGTTAAATTGATTTTAGGTTTTCTGTACACAAGTACTCCAAAATATGAATTTCTATGTATCATACTCATGAACTCTGATATCCAAGTTTAGCATACAGTACTTAAACAATATACTATATGAGGCCTTTCGTAAGCTTCATGGATATGACGAAATATACTCAACAGAAATTGAAATAAGAAAAACTCCTTTCACTTTGTTGAATTTCTGTCAGGCCCAGAATGGTACCACCTTCCACACTCTATACGAATAATTCTAAGTTGACAAATAATTGTAACAAAAAAAACAGCTCTACTCCCCAACCTGAAAGCACTTAGATATTTTCAATCAAGTTAGATGAAAAATTATTTTTAAATAAAATTCTATCAAAAAAATATAACCTTGAATTTGCAGACTTTCGTAGCCTTTGTGAAGGTGGATTCTTTCCTGTCGCTATCATTACAATTAAGGATAGGATGTACTCGGTCTGTCCAAGGTTCAAACCAACGTATGGAAATATTATACAAACAGGCGGTAAACAATTCAATGCTGAAGTAAATTAATTACAGACAAAACTAGATTAGAATGACAAAATTATTACATCAAAGTGATACAAACGCTATGTTCATATTCAATTTGCATAGCCATTAAACTTACAGATGTTACTCAGTGTGTCCATCCATTCATACGTATTGTTATAATATTGCCTAACAAAAGTTACACAAAATATTATAGTACTGTCATGTTGTGCCATCAAAAAAACCTAAGGAAGTTTCTGGATTTTGTTTGTTCAAGTTTGAATATCACTACTGTAATGTACTATATGTGCTACCTTTCAGACCAAGAGTCCCTGTATGTAGCTGAAGGAGCCTACAGGTCTATTAACCACTGAAACCTGCCTGATGCTGTGATCTTCCCCAAAGTGAGAGAAGACACTTCCAAGATATATGGTTTAAAGAACTATCTTAAAAAATCATCAGCATGGTGGTTTAATGGTCAGATGTAACTTAAGCAACAATAATAGAGTAAAAACATGTAAACATTCTGAATTTGTTTACAGGGGGAGGGGGGTGGTTCTGACCTCTGGTAAAACTTTGGACCCTGGTTTACTTACACCATATGAATCAAGCTGCAAATGTCAATTTTGTGGTTAAACTAGAAAGGAATAATGTGTTTCTACTTTTTAAATGTCATATCTCATGACCTCAAGTGCTGCTTTATTGCTAAATTTGGTGTGTTGGATTTTTGATTTGGGCACAGCTTTAATAAAATTACCACAGTGATTACCACACATTACAATTACAGTAGAACCTTGTTTTTACGTATCTCAGGTACCGTATATGAACCCTCAGTTTTATGTACGCCTCGTACGGATGATGACGTCATCAAAAACCCAAAATACTCAAACCAAACGGCCACCATAATGTAAAAAGAGATTTGTTAGTTTCTGTCTGTTTATTATTTCAAACTATAACGATAAACTAACCATATGCAAAGTATTTGCATTCACCAGCAGCGTTGACTGTGTCTAATTAATGCGCTGTTATAATCTAAAACCACACAGACTAAGTGAGATGAACAAACTACCGTCGATGCTAGTGATAGTAATACGTAAAGTGATGAATAATACTAATAAACACATGGTTCTATTCGTAGGCCTAGGGCTACAGTTGTATGCCTAGGCCTAAGCAACATTGTTCGTCGATAACATACGTTTATTGAGTGTTACGTACATATTAGGCCAAAAGTCAACACAAATTATAACCCAACCTTAATTTTACGAATCCCTGATTACGTACACCCTCCGGTCCCGTACCGTATAAAAAATTCAGGTTCTACTGTATGAAGTTAATGGTTAGTGGTGTTCAATTTATAGAGCACAAAATACAAAGAGTCTTTAAGCCCTATCAAAAGGCAAGTGTAAACATGGAGTGGAAACCAAAACCATAAAGTAATAAATGAAGTGAAATTTGAAATCCATGCCAGCACTCAAACCACAGCATGGGGATACACCCTTATCACTAACTAGGGTTCAATCTAATTGAACTGCGGTCAGCACCAGTTGAGTCTTGGCCATCCCGAACTCGGTCGCCTCCTATTAAGTATTTAAGACTAGTCAACAGAAGACCAGGATAAGCTAAAAATTTTCAAAAGTCATGTCTAATTTCCAGATCAGAGGTTGCACTTTCTACTACAGATTAGCATTGAGATATTTGCAACATACAGTAGTTAGTTGTTGTAGTACAATGTCCATCATGCACTATGCAGTATGCCTATTCATTTGTGGCATCCTTAAATATCAACATTCTTTCAGATTAGCTATTCTTACCCATCTACAACAAGAAAATAATAACAGTACCTCATTAGTGTTTTTTATGCCACAATGAGGTGGCTACAATTTTGTACCTATCAATCCCAATTATATAAAATATATCATCATAGCTTTAATTTATTAGAATATATTACTAAAATACTGAATTCAAGAGGAGAGTATGATTAATATGTAAGATATGATTATCTCTCTTCCATACAATCAATAAATGATACAAAAGATGAATAATACTATATTGAAATTTTGAAAATCAATAAGAAATATGAAAAGAATTTTAAGCACTAACTTAAATACCCACTGAAGCATGATCACTTCCCTTTAATTCAAAGGAAGCCTACTTAATTTTGATATAAAAAATGAAAATAATGTCTATATGGCAAAATGGCATTCACATATTGATATAGTTAATTCTTAGGATTAACCACTGGCCTGATGATTGAATATTTTGGGTTGAATTTTTGTTGTTTTACATGGTACAGGTATAATATCAGCAAAAAAGATAAAAGGGATAAATCACATGCTGGAATTCAGAATTATCTACTGTACCTTTCCTTTCTTTCCTTGGTAGCTCCATTCATTCAACACTTCTGCAGCACCATCTGTTAGTTTAAAAAAAATTATAATAAAGGATGAATTTTGAACATTAGAAGAAAACATTTTTGAGAAAAGCATTTGTTAATTTTTTGCTTTGATTTTTCTAAAATTTGTAAATATAACAATAATAATAATAATAACAATAAAATTTTTTATTGATAGTAAATAATAGTAATATTTGTAACAATGATTTTAATGATTCACTTTTTTTACAATTTTCTAATAGCTTTATAGGTTATATTTTTTTGTTGTTTTTCTTTTTACGCATTTGTGCAGTTAATTGTTTTACTGATCCCAAGTGGAAATTAGGTACCTTTTCTTTGTATTCCTTATAATCAAGGTCAGTCCATTGCACAGTTTTTTAGGACGATTGTTTGTACGTTTTATTCAAAATGTTATTATGTTTTTGTAAAATGTTACGGACTACTACCTTAGAAATACAGCTCAATCTTTTCAGTGGTCACAAGTTACCACCACATAGGCCCTTGCTCAGATTTTAAGGGGTACATTTGAACACTATACAGTAACTAATTCAATGTAATATAGTTGCACAGTAATAATAACATATGTATATCCTTTAATACAGTGTAGAGGGCAAAGGCAAGGAGGCTTGCCATACAATGTATGGCAGCCCCAAAAACCTTAAGTGTTACCTAATTGTATTCCTACTACACATTACCACCACCACAACAGACTAAACACCGTAAACTATTTTTTGCCATCAGTTACTTTATAGGGTAATACAGTGCTTTTGCTAAAGACAGTGATGTAGGATTCACATCCGGAAATACATTGACAACATTACTCTGAGTGAAAGCTTAAATAACGGCAACAGCAACCTACAAACAGATCTAGATTAGCTGGACAATCGGCTACGAACGACAATCAAAAACTGAACCTATCTAAATGCCAGGTTCTCCAGGTATATTTTGGTCACCAATGTCTTCCGGATGTGGACCTTCATATCTACGGCCAACATTTGCCTGTTGTTACATCTGTAAAACTCCTTGGTATTGTTCTTGAACATGATTTAAAATGGGAAGGAAATACTAAATCTACTAAAGCTAACACGAAACTTTTTATGTTGCGGTCACTTAAGCAGGCTGTCCTTAGTGATGTGGATCTCATTGCAGTGTACAAATGTTATATCCGTCCTATTCTGGAAAATTTGGCAACTTTTTCGCACCCTGGCCTTATACAGGCCCAGTCTTCCAGAATTGAAAAGATCCAGCATAGAGTACGATGTTATTCTTGGGAAGTACTTTGTTTTTATTTATGCTAGTGCCCTACGAGGCATGTACTGTATTTGTAATGATAGTTTTTTTTCTCCCTTAAAATGTTTATCTGGTTTGATGTAAAGTGTATAATGTGCTCCATTTCAGTTTTATACTGCCTTTGCACATTGTTTTCATAAAGATAGGATGTTGGCACTGGAAACTTGTCAGATTTGCTAAATTTGCTAAAAAAAGCCTTAACTTTATCAGATTCAATAACGGTTTCCTATTTCCTATCTAAAAAGTAGCACTTCAGTGTCTCTTTAAAAATTGAATAAATTGTAAAACAGAAAGATTTAAGAAAAGAACAATATAATATTTAACCAAATTACATGAAAATTCATAATCATTACTTGTATTGTAAACATAAATATATTATAAGAGATCTTTAGGCAGTGCGGTTAAGGCAGGGTCACCGCAACCTACCTCCATAATATCGGTGCAGGTTCGAACAGCACACTTAAACCAAGACTCGATAAGGACTATAAACGGTAGGCCCAGTGTACACAAT